CTCTCCCCGATCCCACCGTGGGGGGGAGTGAGCGAGCAGCTGGGTGGGGCTTAGTTGCCAGCTGGGGTTAAACCACAACATAAGGCTTGTGAGAAATATGCTGTACCCACCAGCCCTGTAAAGTGTCCAGCACACCTGGGGCATCACAAAAGCCTCTGAAAACCAGAAGCCTCAGGAGGGGGAAAGTGCTGTTTACTAACAGCAGTTAATCCATACTAACAACGAAAAAAGGGAAAAAAAAAAATTTAAAGACATTCTGCTGTGTATGGAATACCTTTTACTATTACTAAATTTAAACCCTCAGAGGTAAAGGCAGTCTTGTTTTATCAGAATAAGGACTGGATTTATTGCAGGGTTTTGTGATGCTACTGCAAGTTCAATAGCATTAATAGCAGAGCATTTGGGAGGCTGTGGGTATATACATCTAACTGCTTAAGAGTAGGACATACTAATGAAGTTAAATTATCAAGGTGACTCCTTTGAGTAGGCCAGAAGCTGTCCTGTTTATTTAAGAGCAGAGATGTTTTAGTTGCAATTTCAACTTCTGTAGAGCTTTTTTCCATGGGAGCCTGCTGCTCCTAAAGTAGTTAAGCAGAATGTTTGATTTACAGGCACTGACTCTGCCTTTTTCTTTTTGGCAGTATCTACCTACTTTAGGCATATATAAAGACCGCAGAGTAAATTATCCAGATCAGCAGAGACTGCTATATAGGTAAATACATTTCCTGAGAGTGATCATGGATTCTTTATTTTACAGTCTTAAATACATCTTCTGACCATGAAGTGTTCCTGCACCCACTGTTTTTTTAATTGAAATTCTCTGATTTGGTTTAAGATTTCTTCTATCGCTTACAATTTATTACTAGACTGCTGATTAATCTACTCTATAAGCTGGAACAGAACCACCTAGGATGTCCCTCCTGTTATATATATCATGAAGAAGTTCATGAGTCTGGTCATGGAAAAAGATGCCAGTATGTAAGACAATGTACAAGGAAAATGTACATGCAACAGCACTAAAAAATATATTCAAATATAGCCAAAAACTTCAGTAATCGTATTTAAGAACTCCTTTTCTTTTCCAACATTCAAAGTAGAGCGATTTGGTGCATATGTGAGAACCATACTCACCAAATCATTCCCACAGACATATATACATCTATGTATTGATAACCACTGGACAGAGAATACTTGATAAAATGACAGAAATAAAGAGTTCTTCCAGTGGATTTTTTCCTAAACATTTGGAGGGACAGAAAAGAAATTCTTTCTTTTCTACCTTTCACTTTTATTCCAGATTTAGTGATATGCTTTACAGTTTTCAAACATTAATTCTGATAATAATTGGAGTAAGACTGAAAGCTAAGTATTCCCTTGTCTGCGATTTACAAATAGTAAAATACTCATCTCAGGTAGATTTATGGAAGCTTGCGAGTTATTTAATGGACCAGGAAAAGAAGAGGAGCATGCAACAAACATGCCCCACTACAACTGCTTTACGCTATTTGCCCGGTAATGAGATACACAAACATTCTTTGAGTGAATGTACTTTAAAGAGATGGTACCTGAGCTCTGAATGTTGGCAGATGGTCTTCTCCTCGCCTTGCAAAGTCTTTGTACCCAAACCCAGGATCTTCAATATAGCGGGAGACATCCGTAGAAACTATTTCATCATCAAATGCTGTGAATAAAATAGCAAAATGCATTGCTTTAGGCAGGCACATGAGTTGGCGCCGACTTCCAACTACCACTCTACTACCGGACTAGAGAACAATTTTAGAAGTTGTGCAAAGGAGAGAGCGGTACGAAGGAAAGAAACATTTCAATCCCAATCTGCTTGTATGGGATCCATCCCTTTCATTGAGCCAACTAAACGTCAGCCTACACCAGACATCGTACTTCTACAACATGGGAATAGACTGGCTAAACTTCTGTCTGGAGGTGTGCTTTTATCTCTGTTGGCTTCTGAGGGAGGCTAGGTATCTTAAAGCAGGAAGATGAATCCTGTTAGTAAAGTCATTGTGCTAGGATAAGAAACAGGAAAATGTACCCCTGACAGCAGGATTGCTTTGCTGAACAGGTATGGTGTCAGGAATTACACCAGCTCTGTTCTATAACCCGGAGTATGAGCAACAGAAAGCAATGCAATATTCCACTTTAAATATCAGTTGAAGACTATATGAAAGCAAAGAGCTCTACAGCACATCAGGCTGAAATTCTGCCAGAAGCTCTAGTAACTAAGCATCTCCAAAGAGCTCCAAAACGCGTCACTAAGCAAGCGCAGGTTCTCTATCAGGAATCAATCTTTCCCTCCCGAATAAACAGGTGGCTTGATTGTGTAACCACCTCTGCAGAAGTTGACTACTGCATAGCTGACTGCATTTGACCCTGATGTTAGAATCCTGGCTCGCTTCCACATGCATTGACAGAACAGTTGCCATATGTCCACTGTTAGCACCTTGAAAAGTCAGTTAATCTAAGAATTGCAGAAGTGCTTTATCTCCTCTTTGCCTCATTAAACAATCAAAACATAACTGCGTAGGAAGAAGCTCGCACAGCATCTGCTACAGCAAATCCTCAGCGAAGAATAAAAAACCTGCACACATACACTCCTCTCCCCTGACAAGGACTGAATTTCATGAAAGGGTAAAGGCCCAGCACATACACACTTCCTCAGCTCAAACCAGCAAAAGGCAAAGGGGGAGGAAAGTCAACAGAACTATCAGCAACCGCATCAAAAACCCCCTTCTGTCCCAAACACCTCCTCTTTTTTATATGCCTGAAGTTGCAGAGTCTCATGGAAGTCCTGACTAGATAATGAAACAGCAATGGGTGTCAATTTATCTGCACCGTTGATACTGTCTGACCAAAGAAAAACAGAGCAACAATGGACAATATCCATTTCTTAAAATCCAGCCATGACGTTGCTGGATGTATATTCTTTCAGAGATTTTGCATGTTCCTAGAGAGCCACAAAACAATCTCTCTGCTGATCCACAATACATTCTTCCTCACTTTTGGGCTGAGTGCACATAAACTTAGATACTTTCAAACATTGTTTGGTCTGAAGCTACCAAGATCTAAATTCAGAAAGAACCGTGTCAGTAAAACGTGACGCATTTTATGGGTCACTTCTTAAAAAGATACAAGCTATCATCTTCAAGTAGCCTCTACTATGAGGAAATGGTTGGAGATTTTGATTGCCTTAACAGTATTCTTTCTTCGAACACTTTCTTTGGGAAAATAACCCACCTTCCTGTCTATAGGAAACAGATTTCATTGTATGGTTTGTTAGAGATGAAGGCCTCCAGAGCATATGAAGAATAATGGAAAAGAAGGTTTCAGCTCAGAATTTTGAACGTTATTTAAGAATAAAAAAAAATGCTAAGAATCTCTAGCACAACACAGGCAGTGGAACAGCATAGCAGTATGATCACTCAGAACGGTAAGTTAGAAATGTCCTTTCCAGTAAATGGTAAAGAAGCTGAGTCTCATCCCAATCTATTTCCTGAACTAAATGTCGTATCTGAAGGCTACTTCTGAGTGTCATCGAAGTTCTAAGCGCTGTAGAACCTAAACCTGTGAAATATTACTGAATATTTACATGAACTAATTAATTTGAAGATATAGAGCATATAAAGAAAGAGAAATTTACACCCAACTTTTTACAGAAGCCTACAGGCTTTTTTTTAAATATACAAAAGCCAAATTTCAAGTAGCAAGAAAGATGGTGGTTTTTGCCAATCAAGAAACCTTAAGCAAATGAAGCAAGAGACAGGACCACCCTTACTACACTTCTACGAGACCAACAGCCAGAATAAAGAAATGGACAGAAAAAGTTATAGTCACTGAACTGGCCTCAAGTGTTTAGTTCTTACAAAGCACAAACAAATGGGAACTGGAAAAGCACAAATACCTCCACTAATTACTAGCAGACTCTCCTTCTTCTCCTTTTCAAAGCGAGTTGCCATTTCTTCCTGAGAGGCTTCTTCGTCCTCTTTATCTTCTTGTAGCCTCTTCATCCTTTCCATTAAGGCCTCCAGCTCACTTAAAGAATCTGCAATCTGCAAAAACACCATGACATTCTGCAAAATTAGAAGATAGACAACATGTGTCATCTTCAGATTTCATGCTCGACAACAAACGTTCTCAAAAACAGATAGCAGCAGCAAACACGAAAACTCATGCCAGAATCATTTTGTTACATACAGCGTAGACAAACAGCTTTCAGACAGCGAGACGAAGGGAGCTGGGAAGTGTTACTCTAACCTATCGCAGTAACCTACTGCAGTGGGATTAACAGCGGAAGAGGTGGTGTTTGAATGTGGAAACCATAGTCGCTTATAATACATATTCCACCAAGTAGATGGCTCAGGAAAAGCCATCTGTGTGCCCTACGTGTATCAAAAAACAACTTCTAATATTAAGGTAGTTTTTTCAGTCTATTAGTAATGTAAAATGTGCTTCTGAAGAGATACAGAGCAACGCTGCAATGCAGGAACACAACCTGAGACAGCAAATCAGTGTTTTCTTTTTCTTTTCATTACACGTGATCAAAATAACCATTATGTTGACCCTTTTTCTTGCTTTTGTGAGGAAAACAGGCTTCTTTACTAGAAATACATCAAAGTTTGGGGTTCTGTGACCTGTACTTATCATTCAGTTTTTTCATAAGATAAATTGTTTGGTTTTTCTTTTCCATCTTTTCCTTTTGATTCTGTTCTTCTGCCCATAGCTATAACTGTTTTCTAGTATGCTACTCACTGCTTAACAAGCAGCACAGTCAGCAACAGCCCTTTGCCCACTATAAACATGGAATAAGACAGCCCACCAATTTGAGCTAGCATGCCCTACAGCCCAGAAATTTAAGATACAGCAATTGAACTGACTGATCACGTGTTCACATTGTACTGCTAATTTTTAAAAACATATCTAGTGACTCTGCTCATAATCCCGATCTTCCGTCAAAGGCAATGAGGCTACTTCATCAATCGCCATTAGTTCAAGAACATGTCTTCAAAGCATTATAGAGCCACTTTCAGAAAAAAATTTCCACATTTAAGTTACTTAACTAGTCATCAAAGTTCTCTGTTGGTTGATTCAAGACTGGAACACCAGCGTGAACAATTAAGTAATTTTATTTCAGACATTTCCTCCCATCTACAAGGAAGGGTTTCAGAATTGACCTGTTCTGTAATTGTAGGCCTTGAAGTAAAAATTATTATTATTTTGACTTCTGTTTTTTTTTCCCATTTCTTTTTTTATTCCACATGTTAGAAACATGGATGACACAATGCTCCAGTCAGCGACACACTAGCTGAAGAAACTGGGACTTCAAGCTTTCAGCTGAAAGCAAAGTTTTAGTCTCGCCCAACGGGTTGTGTGATTAGCTATCAAAATCACATTGCTCTGACCACCATTTGCTGTTACAATGTGGTTTTCAACAGATTACACTGCAAACTGCTAGAGCTAACGTAAGAGTTACCAGACTCAAGCATTTCAGTAAAGTAGACAAAAAATTTCAAATTACCCTGAAATTTAAACAGGAAAGGATGGAAGAAAGTTTTCTAATGCAAAACAGAGGCAAGCAAAAGAATCTTCTTGTGACACTAACCCCAAAGTTGCTACTTGTGAGGGATGCATTTTCTATGTTGTTGTCATTGGCAAGATCACAGACACAGAAGTTGTTGACTGCTATAAGTCTGACTCCATTAGATGTATCCGGATCTCTCTCTGGATTAATGCCACTACCAAATACAAAACTTGCCAAGGCATGATAATGTGCCAACAGGACAACAGCATGCACCAGTTCAGGAAGAGACCAATTATTTTCCCCAGTCTTGACAAGTTTCTGAAACGAGAATAAAAGAAGTGTAAATATAAAATTTCTTTTGGCCCCCAGCTTTTCTATAAAACACTATGTATTTTAAAAAGGAATCAATTCCTTTCTTCCAATAATACCATATTCCTCTTGCACACAAACTCTCACTGGATAAAAAAGAGAGACATCTAATATATTACCTCTTTTCTTTGGGGGTTATTTTAGCCAATGCTATTCCTAAAAAGCAAATCTTGTTGGCTTTGTCACACAGAAGAAGTTATTGGCTTATTTAATGCTCACTTCTTCCCTGAATTTTTTAACTCAGGGTAATGAAGCCTAACCAGACACTTGCGTAGTTCTTAGCATTTTCTGCTATTACAGGGCACGACTTAACAGGTACCTGAATGTGCTCTTTCGTGATTAGCCAGGGCCGGTGTGCAAGGAGTTTGTTTATTTCGTTCAGATTTTTCAGTCTTTGGGGAATGTATTCTAAACCATTCAACCACTCTGCCATCCCGCCAGTCTTCAAAAACTCATCAACATGCATATTTATTAGGTAGGAACACTGATGCCTGGCCGCAGCCTGTAATAATTAAACACAGAGGGAAAAGGGCAGCACGTTAGCGTGTAATCTGATCTTGCTGCAGGTGGAAGACAGGTTACTAACACAAAACAAAAAACACAATTTCATTCCAAAGGGCCATGTTTTATACTGCAATGCATTTCTATGCAGTATGGAGGATTCTCCAATAAAAATACGTTTGATTACTTTACTCTGAATTGCAGAATCTAATTTAGGTTGGAAGAGATCTCTAGAGGAGATCTAGTCCAACCCCTGCTCACAGTAGGGCTAACTTAGATTAGGTTGCTCGGAGCCTTGTCCAGACAGGATCTCCATCCTCGGAGATCACACCACCTCTCTTGGCCCCTGTTGCAATGTCTCAACATCCTCATGGTAAAAATTGTTTTCCTAGTGTCCACCTGGAATTTGTTGTGACTTGAGTTCATGGCACCTCATCCTACTGCTGCGCACTGATGGTTAAATATCCCGAAATAAGATTACACAGTTTTAACTCTGCTCTCTGTAAAACACCACTCTTGTGGGCATCTGAGAAGTGTATCGCTGTGGGAAACAGGGAAACATGTAGGTTGCCAATTCTCCCTTCTCGTTGAAAACCTAGGTATACTTTATTCTGATGAAAACCAACTACAAAAATTCACTCCCTGTCAAAATACCACACTAGTCTCTCCTTTCTAAAGCCTTCCTTTTTTCTTCTTTTTTAAGTACACAAGTCAAGGTTGCAGGAGAAAATATATAGCCTGTTGGTACATACCATTATAGCAATGTAGTGCCTATAGGGCAAAGGAAGGGGCCCATCCATGCGCAGCATATAGAACTGGCTGCGGAGGAAGGACTCCAGGTACTGAGTATGGATACTCATGACCTGCGTGATGTTGTCCAGGCGACCAGACGTAGAGTATTCTTCCACAAGAAGATTAGTACGTTCATCCAAACCATTTGCTTGCATAACCTTAAAAATAAGATGGACAAACTTAACAGAGAAAGAGATTTTCTCTAGCTTTAGCCCTGGAGAGAAACATATTACGGTATGAAAGGTTTGCTTATGTACAAACTTAAAGGCAATGCTGGAGATCCGGATGTATATTTGTAAATATACATGCTTGCATGCATGTGAATACACACATATAGATGTTGCTTGTATACTGAGAACTGAAGAGCACTTTATACTGTACTTCTGTTATTTTAGTATGTTTCTACAAAAACCAAGAACATTTTTCTGTAGATCTTTCCGAAACGGCTAAACTCGCAGATGCTTAAAGTCAAATCTGTACAGAGAGCTGGAAGTAAGCAAGAGCTAAATGGAAAGTAAAGTCTTTATGGAAGACAGCCTGTATAGACACACACCACCCGAGCATTCAGCCCTAAAACCAATTTCAAAATTAATGGAGAGGAACTGGGTTATGTAACCAAATTATAGAAACAGCCTGGCAATCTACCCCTTCTGTGCTTGTATAATTGAAGAGGAGATCAAATGCTAATTTGTCCATAACATTCAAGTATTATTTAGAATAGGAATTTAATGCTTTCTTTAAACAAAAGCTGTTCTTTAATTATTCCAACCAATCCAAACCTTGGGCACAAGATGAAATGAAACAGCAAAAGAGTAAGTAGCTCTTGCATTGCAAGCCCTGACACAGTATTAGTGCTATTACTCAGTGTTTATCACCAAGAACAGCCATTCTCAACATGTTCGCCACTGAAGTTACAAGCACAAGACAAGTATTTATTCTGAAACTGCACAGTATTAAACCAGCCTGCTTACTATTGCAAACACCATGAAATGAGAAAACATTTTAGCTGGCTTACTGCACATGAAGATAGAAAGTACCTAAAACCAAGAAGACACAATGCTTTTGCTGAAATCATAGAATCATAGAATAGTTTGGGTTGGAAGGGACCTTTAAAGGTCATCTAGTCCAACACCCTTGCCATGGGCAGGGACATCTTCAACTAGATCAGGTTGCTCAGAGCCCCGACCAACCTGACCTTGAATGTTTCCAGGGATGGGGCATCTACCACCTCTCTGGGCAACCTGTTCCAGTGTTTCACTACCCTCACTGTAAAAAATTTCTTCCTTATATCTAGTCTAAATCTAAACTAAACTCTTTTAGTTTAAAACCATTCCCCCTTGTCCTGTCGCAACAGGCCCTGCTAAAAAGTTTGTCCCCATCTTTCTTATAAGCCCCCTTTAAGTACTGAAAGGCTGCAATAAGGTCTCCCCGGAGCCTTCTCTTCTCCAGGCTGAGTAACCGCAACTCTCTCAGCCTTTCTTCATAGGAGAGGTGTTCCAGCCCCCTGATCATTTTCGTGGCCTTCCTCTGGACCCGCTCCAACAGGTCCATGTCTTTCCTGTGCTGAGGGCTCCAGAGCTGGATGCAGGACTCCAGGTGGGGTCTCACCAGAGCAGAGCAGAGGGGCAGAATCACCTCCCTCGACCTGCTGGCCACGCTGCTTTTGATGCAGCCCAGGATACGGTTGGCCTTCTGGGCTGCGAGCGCACATTGCCGGCTCATGTCCAGCTTTTCATCCACCAGTACTCCCAAGTCCTTCTCGGCAGGGCTGCCCTCAACCCCTTCATCCCCCAGCCTGTATTAACACTCTATTTAAAATACGTTTTCCTTCTTTATGATGGGCCGATGAATCGACCGTGTCTCAAATATTTTTCCATCAAATCTTATATAGAAGTTACATACAAAGAAACACAAACAATATACTACATTTTCATTTCTCACCACTGTACCTCCCTGTTTTAATTTGTGGGCCCAGAAAAAAAGGGAAGAAGCAGCTATGCAGTCAGGCAGCTCCATCATTTTTACATGTGTAGCTCTTCACTATGACAGCTTTTCTGTGTTTTATACCCAAAATGATGCCTCCTCAGTTTTTCTTAAGAATGTTTTTACTATCAGAATTTTATTCACACATATAGAGATCACTTTGTCTCACTTATTATGGTATATCCCTCGCTCCACTCCAAGGAGTCCCCCTTCTTCTTCAGCAAGTGTATCTCCCATGTATTTAAGAGATCTTTGTCTCATTTAGTAGTTTCTTGGGGAAATCATACTTTTCGTGTCTCTGGTAAGGTTTCTAATCTTACTTGTCAGGAGTTTTCCTTGTAACAGTACAAGCTATGGAAAAGAAATTCTGCTGACAAAATTGAAATATAATCCTGCAGGACTGCACTGTTGCTACGTTAGGCATAGCAATATGCAGCATTATTGCTTCTGAGATTTATCTCCACCTATATTACTATCCTCTTCATACTGTATATGTACTTCCTCCTGATTTATTACCATCCATGGATTCACAAACATGTTTTTTTATTCTGCTTTTAAAGCCTTACGGCACTTTAACAGGAACCTTTACAATTAAGCTGTTATTGCTCTGTCCATATTCCTTCCATTACGACAATAAAGCAGGCTTTGACACGACCAGTGTTATTATCAAGATTGTTGGGACATTCAGTGTTTTACTAATCTCTAACTACATCCCTCCTATCCACTGTATTATTTCATGCCAAGGAATGGGGGAAAAAGGTAGTCGTTTGCTCAACAAACAATATTTAACATCTGTTCATGATACTGAATAGCTGTTTCATCCATGCAGGTGGAGGTTCCCTGCTTGTACTGGGTAATCGCTGTGGTTACTCCTTTCTGAGAGCTACTCAGTGATTCCTCCTGCACCCTTGGCTAGCGCCTTTCCCAAGTTTATCAGCTGTGAAATAAATTCATTAACAATTCTCTCAAAATATGTTATTTTAACTGCATTTATTTTTCTACTTTTTATACAATTATTGACTTCATGAGAAAAATTCAGTTATTAAAAGTTTGGCATCTCAATTTCATCTCGTATTTCATACGAAAGGGAAGTCCTCGTCACAAGTGTGGCTGGCTGGAACTCTTTCTGCTCCCCTCTTCCCAAGTCTGAAAGATTCTTTTTGACCTCTCTTCCTTTTTGCGTCATTACGTTTTCTTGTTGCCAGCCTTTACACTCTCTCTGTTTGTTTTTAGATTCAGACCTTGCCGGTGTATAAATGGAGAGAGACTCAGAGAACAGGAGCCATCTCATCTTTCAAAATGTTTTTTTGGCCCTTTTAACATGTGAATTATCTGCCTTTAGCAATTACTTAACACAAAAAAAAGGTCCTGGTTTTATAGTCGGCCATCCCAAATAATTAATTAATCAATAAATAATACTCTGTGAAGATTGAGATCACAGGAGAACACCACCATAGCAAAGTTTCTACTTACTACAGGAAGCTGCAAATCAAGGCTTAAGTTGAACATTAAATCATGGGCAGAAATCTTGAGTTTGAAGTCAAATCGTACCTTTCAACCATAAATTCCTTCAAGAGCCACAGTTACGGTCTAAGGAGTTAGTCATATTTTCAGGTTCTCTCAAAGTGAAGGTCAGACACTGCTCTGAGAGCTATATAATCGTACCGCTTCAATACTGGATAGGCCTCTCCTTAGGCCTGGCATTAAGAGTAATAAGTGATCATCCCCCACGAGAAGAGCAGAGCCGGCGCTCACAGCTGTCTCTGGGAGTGCTGGTGACCGAAAAGATGTCAGACGGCACCGCTTGTGTGAAAGGGCAGGGTAGTTCTTACCCACTGGAGCCTGCTTCAGAGAAACCATTGCTTTTGCTCACAGAGGGGCTCATCTGGGTACCACTGGGCAAGCAGGACCATAAAACTGTCCTTCAGTATTTCCATTTTAAAAGCTACCACCCGCCCGGCCCAGCTAACCGCAAACTTACTTCGTTCTCTGGTATAAAGGCACTTGGTCCTCTTGTCAATGGTGGGGAGACTTGTACTCTTTTTTCCTGCAAAACAGTCACGTAATTTGGTCAGCATCAGGAATATCATACTAACTTGCTTTATCTCACAAGATGAGATCTTCAATGCCTGGATTAGGTTCTCTTCCCGAGGCCACCTGGGTGTTTTACAGCCCACTGAGGCGGTGAAGCCAGCACACCACGTTGGTTAGATCAGCTTTGCACCCCCTGTACTTTGCGCAAATGAACGGCACCAATTTTGGCAAGGGATAAGACAGTAAAAAACCAAAAATCTAATCCCGATTGGTTTATAGACCAGCTTGAAGATGCATAAACAACAGCAATAAAACATTTGGAACAATGCTAAAATTAGCCATTTACTGGATTGAATGGAAATTCGGAAAGCGGAGGGGGAAAAAAGCCACACTTGGGAAATTATAAGCAAGACATTTTCTTCAATATCAGCATCTAATGAGATCCTCAGTGTTGAGAAGAGTGTAAGCACTTTGTGTGCCAAATATTGGCATGAAAAGCACAGTCCAAAAACCAGCAAGACCCAATTAAAGACTTGTTCTAGAAACCCGACGAAATGGCCACCTTGCTCAGCTGTCGAGCCCGGAGAACACAAGCCGTGGTACAAGCCTTGGTGCGCAAACCCCAGCTAGAAGTCATGAAACGCCCTTTGAGGATGATATATTTAGTACAGAACAGGCTGATGCGTAACAAGAGCCAGAGGACTTTTTAAATTTATTAGGGATAAGAAATTGAACTAAGATAAACTGTGGAGGCTTTCACAGCGTGGCCGCTGACAGCCAGAGGGGTGAAGGGGATCTTGGGGAGGCTGCCCGCTCCTCTGGTTCACCAGGGGCAGGACCAGCACTGTCCACGTCAGGCCTGACCAACGTTGGCCCAAGCTCCTCTTAAAGACCCTCCCGGAGGTTCCTCCGTCTGTCCAGGTCATTTAGTTCCTTGGATCTTTAGAAAGTTTTCCTAGTATCTAACCTGAATTTCCCTTGCAGTAATTTAAAGCCGTTGTTTCTTGTCTTTTCTTCTTTTCCTCTTTATGACTATATTCCATCTATCTGGAAACTATGGCTGCGCACTTTCTCAAGTCCCTAATTGCACTGCAGCGTTGGTGACTCTTAGTAAGTTATCCATCAACAGCCATATGGGATTTGCATACTAAATATTTTGTGCCCCTAAATAAAAGTCCAAGGTTTTCCATAACAAATGACCCTAAATACCTCTACCAGGGGGGCTTAAGCTTAACTGCCATGTGCATGAACAGCAGTGCCGGTCCCAGAAGGAGCGTGCCACCGATTTCCACACAGGAAAATGAAGCCACTGGAGCTGTGTAACTATTGTCCTGCTCCTTAAAAACATCCTGTCCTTTCTAAATTAGACTATGAAAAAACATGCAAAAATCAGCAGTGATTATTCAGGAAAGATGTTCCAAAGCAAACTCTCACAGGACAATTAGATTTGTGACTTTGGAATAATTAGCTGCTAAAAGATTCAGAAATAAGCTGGATCTACTGTGTGAAGCCCAGCAGCCAGGAGACAACTTACTGCAACCGCTGCCTGCTGTCACAGCCCCAAAATCCCATAAAATACTTCTTATGAATCAAATGTACTCAGTCTAAAGTAAGAAGAAAGGGTGTAGAGAGACCGGGTATCTGCACGTGTAACTCCTTCCTCGCACAGCTACACAAGGCACAGGAAGACGTCTTCTAGCTTTAAATACACAATCTTGTTAGCAGCCAGTCATTTCTGCCAACATTAAAAAAAGAAATGTTTTCCAAGATTACTATTAAGGTTGCATTTTACTTGTTTTATGAAGGTTAACTGGATATTAGGGTTTAAAACCTTCATTTCATACTGAATAATCTGGAGGAAGCAGCTTGTGCGAGTGAGACAACTTGGATAGCTGCGAACTGTCAGCTCTCGCTGGAACACGGGTCTAAACTAGAGCTGAACCACTGCCTTCTCCATCTTGCTCTCTGACCTACCCTGCTTCTTCAGGCTCTGCAAAGCTGGTCCTCGAGGCCAGACCAGGGCAAAAAAATGCATATATGCATATGCTTCTTCTAGCAGGATCTGGGTTCCGTTCCCGTGTTTCCCCATTCAATGCGACTGCTATTACTCCTTTGACCCTGCAGATAAGCTATTGCTGAGAAGGAAAGGAGGAAATGGTATTTGGGTGGATGAACGTAGGCAAGTATCTCTGATGATTAATTCCTGTGAACGGCGACAGAAAGCCAAGGATATAGTCAGACATAAAAAACGAGGTGTGTTAAATATACTACAAAAAGGACAAAACCCAGCTCCTTTTGGGTGGTGGTAGTTGCAAAAAACAGAAGCCTGGAAAAAACAGACAACCAACCAAAGCAAGAACAAAAAACCAAAACCCCAAACATAATATTTCAAGGTGGTGAGTCTAATCACGGCACATTTTCAGGGAGCTGGGTTTTTTCTATACTAGAAGTGTATACTCTTCCGTTCCATCAACACGGCAGATTACTTTGCCTTCATGCCAAAGCTTTTATTTTATTAAGACTGGTTAAAACAAGCTTGTCAGAAGAAAAGGAGCAACCATCATCTGGTTGCACAAGTTCTCAGGATGTTATTAATAAAAACATGGGAAGTTTACAAGCATTAAGAAAGATAACGTTGGCTTTGTCAAACTGTAGATAAGAACCCCTGCTTCTGGGCACGCTTTATCTAGAGCAGTGATTTAAGGTCTACCCAAGAACCCAAATATGAAAAACTACGTATGGGAATTACAAAGCAACATCGCAGATATATGGTCCTTTATAGTGAAAGTTCTTGCAAAGCTTCAGATTTCCCAAGAAAGCGGGTTCATTTTCTTACTAGTCCTTGCAGGTTACGCTAGCTATTGGTAAGTCAGCCAGCGTCCCTAATATCTTATCTGAAATTGGATTCTTATGCGAAGTGGCTGAAGCAAGAAACAGGTTGCTCAGCAACCAAAATGCTGTACGCACGTATACCAGCCATCTTCTGCTTCATGTTCCTCCAGAAACGCATTGCCGGAGTATGAATAAGTTACCTTAAAAGGTTTGCAACCAACTCCACTTACATTAAAACTAGAGCCTTTTTTGGGGGTGCTTCTTTGGAAGGAGAAAGATGATGAAGAGCTTCAAAGATAAGTAGAGAAAACTGAGCCCAAGCAGGTTACTGGGAGAAGGGCCACTGCAAGCCAGAGCCTAGAAGCAGGTTTCACAGTAGCATGCTGTGGCGTCAGACAGCAGAACGAGACCTGTGCAGAACATGCGAGAGCTGCTGCAGGAATTCATGAAAAAACAGGCCTGAGCAAGCTTTATCTGCGACTTGCTTTCTCTCCTTACGCTGCACTTGGAACAGTGTCGGGAGCTAAATATCAGGAATTTTAACAGGGATGAAGTGGAACCATTTCCCATTTGCGTGTCTATAATTTGCCAGAAACACCTTCATCCTTGGGTGAGCTCTGCCCAAACCCCCACAGAGCCAAAAGCTGCAACTTGCCGTCTCACGGGTTTATTTTTAGCTGTGGCAGTGACTGTGCTCCTTCCCTCCAGAGCCAAGAGGCTGCGGGCACTGGGACACAGCACCTGCATCTCAAATAGTTGCCGGGCTGCCGCAGCAAAGGAAGGGATGCCAGAGCCACTCGGCTGGCAACATGGCCGTGAAGCCCAAGCAGGAGCAAGGATGAGCCCGGCCAGTGCTGAAGCAACACAGCGGCTCTCCTCCCAAAGCTTAAATTAAAGAAATAACCCTTCTTCCTCTTCAATATCACATTGAAGAGTCACTGCGTCCTCAGGCTTTAAAGAAACGACTGTTTTTAGCAAGATGTAAAAGGAGGCTGTCTTATTTGAAAATGGAGCCGCTAGCTGGTGGGGCTGATCGAACAGCTGGTTTGGGAAGTACTTTTGAATATCCATGAACGCAGAAAGCACAGGTGAGAAGCAAATGGTCGCACTGATGCAGGTATACGGCGGCTTCTCATGCACATGGCGCATAAAAGCTAATTCATCCTGAACTCGACATCAAGGTGCTCGTGCTGCAACTGGGGAAAAAAAAAAAAAAATCACTGGGAAGAAACATTTTGCACCTCAAGAGGGAATATTGCAAGCCATGGCAACGCTGCCACTCGTGTCCCTGTGAACTCTTGAGCAGTGCAAGCAGCTGGGAAACACCCACGAAGGGGCTCAGAGCCTCCACTCTGACAAAAACTGCCACCACTATAAAGACATCAGGATAATAAACAGCACTAGATCAAATATAAATCCTAATCCCAAAATTAGCTTCTCCTGAGCAACAAACTCCTTTTCCTAAACAAGCAGGAATTTTTTTTGGGGGGGAAGGTGATGCATATGTATTTCTTATTTATTACACCTCTTCTTATATTATAATCTACACGCAATTTTGCTACCATCTAGCATTTCTAAGGATCTGTTATTAAATTCAGTGGTCTATCTCTTTATAACACACATTATCATCTGCGGCAACAATCTGGAGTCAAATCCATCATTGGGACACCTACATGGAGATGTCTCCATTTCTATGAGGTGCCTAAACTCCTTCTCCAGCAGAAAGCAAGAGCAAGGTGCAGTGTCATTAAAAACAGGAGTTGAGCACCATTCAAGACTCCCTGGAGTCTCCCGCTTGGCATCCAAACACCGCCCCAGAAGCGAATGGGCTTCCCATAGGTACATATAGTGTCTGCCAGTCCCTATGGATGCCCTGGACACCCTTAAGCATCCTAAATGGTACTTAATGCAGGTGTTGGGCACTGTGGCACTGGTCACAGCACCTGCAGTGCGGTTTGGATTACCTCCAACCCAGTGACTGGTGAGCCAGGTTACCTGCTGGGCTTTGCTGGCTGCATCGGGTGTTTGGACACTGAGGGTCCGAGTGGAGAACTGGGTTTGGGACTCCCTATCTGGGGCTGAATTTCCCCCAAGGGATCGATTTTGTCCCAGCCTCAGATTTATCTTACAATTCTTCAAAATACGCCAGTTCTATCTTACGGACTTGATGCTACAGAG